CCCTGTTCAGTAATGATATATCCTAGGAATTGCACAGAGGTCTGATCGAATAAACATTTTTCTAACTTACAGTAGAGTCTGTTCTGCAATAGCCTTTTGAGCACCATCCTAACATGGTTATGGTGTGACTTCAAATCAGGAGAATACACAAGTATGTCGTCAAGGTACACTACAGCACAGACATGCAATAGATCCCTAAGGACATCATTTATGAGGTCCTGAAACACGGCAGGAGCATTACACAATCCAAAAGGCATGACCAGATATTCGTAATGCCCACTGCATGTGTTGAACGCTGTCTTCCACTCGTCATTCTCCTTTATACGGACAAGGTTATAAGCCCCCCTGAGGTCTAATTTGGTGAAGAATTTAGAACCTTTAACACGATCAAACAACTCAGTGATGAGGGGGATAGGGTAGGCGTTTTTAACCGTTATATTGTTCAGACCCCTGTAGTCTATACATGGCCTCAAATCGCCCTCCTTCTTAGCCACAAAAAAGAAACCAGCACCAGCAGGAGAGGAGGACCTTCTAATAAAACCTTTTCTTAGGGATTCCTGTATGTACTCCTCCATGATCTGGTTCTCTTTTTCAGAAAGAGGGTAGACCTTTCCCCTAGGAGGCATAGTGCCCGGTAAGAGGTTTATGGCACAATCATACTCACGATGTGGAGGTAGCTTATCTGCCTCCCTCTTTTCAAAAACCAAAGCAAGGTCTGCATAAACAGAGGGAACAGAAACCGAGAGTGGTTTAGCCGTGGGCACGTTAAATAAACAGACAGGACGTACATGAGCCATACAGTCTCGCTGACAAGATTCCCCCCAGGAGAGTATGTCTAAACAACCCCAATCAAGAACAGGGTTGTGTTTAACTAACCAGGGAAAACCTAGAACGATGGAGGCTGTTGGGGAATCAATTATTTGGAAGGTTAACTTCTCCTTGTGCAAAACACCCACAGACATAACTATTTCCTGGGTTTCATGGGTCACCAGAGGTTTCTCCAGTGGTCTACCATCTATGGCCTCAACGGCCAAGGGTGTCTCCTTTCGGATCAAATTCAGGGCTGCGGTTTTGGCAAAGGTCTCATCCATAAGGTTGTCTGCCGCACCCGAATCGATCAGGGCTTTGGTTGTTATAGTGGTTTTATTGACCAAGAGAGAAACCGTAATAAACGGTCTAGAGATGGACATATGAGGGGACAAAGTCATAACACCCGAGGCCGACCCCTCTCTAGGCCTTAGGTGCTGCAGTTTCCCTGTACTTTAGGGCAGGCTTTACAGTGATGCCCCCTCTTCCCACAATAAAGGCATAACCCCTCCCTTCTACGGTACGCTCTTTCGGCCTCAGTTAACCCCGTAGCACCCAACTGCATGGGTTCAGGGGATGGTTGCATAGGAGCGGGTAACGCTAGCAGGGAAGTACTGGGTAGAGCAGGTAACACCCGTGTATCCAACCGTCTTTGGCTACGCCTCTCTCTAATACGGTTATCTATAAGAATCACATAGTCTATAACATCATCTAGAAGAGCAGGTAATTCCCTGGATGCTATTTCATCCAGTATATAAGCGGCCAGACCCTCCTGAAAGGCTGTTACGAGGGCGTCATTATTCCAAACCACTTCAGCTGCTAGAGTACGAAATTCGATAGTGTAATCTGCTACAGACCTGTTACCCTGTCGGACCCTAAGCAGAGCCTTGCCAGCAGAAGCAACCCTACCGGGTTGATCAAACGTGCGTCTGAAAGCTGTCAGAAAATCTGCAAAGGACATAGGAGACGTATTTTCCCAAATGGGGTTGGCCCATGCTAAAGCTCTCCCAGACAAGTGGTTTATCAAAAAGGCAATTTTAGATATGTCAGTGGGATAGGAGCGTGGATTCATCACCAAATGGATGTCGATTTGGTTGAGGAAACCACGACACAATGCTGGGTCACCACTGTAACGCTGTGGCGGCGTCATGTGAACTACATGAGCGGGAACAGGTACTGGAGTGGGAATGGGTTCGGGCACAGCAGCAGCAGCCTCCTGAACGGCAGGTTGCAAGTGTGCAGTACGAGCCAGAATGGTTTGCAAAGCTTGAGCAAACTGATCCATACGGTGGTCCAAGCCATCCATTCTAGCCTCTTGATTAACTAGGAGCTGTGGTATGTCAGCAGGTTCCATTATGGCCCTGTTGTAATGTCACGATTCGGGGAACCCAACACGCTGGCACACACACACACACACACACAAAAGATGCCGTACCGGACCTTAGAGTGGCCGGGCTAAGCACACACAGAATAGTCAGGAAACAAGCCGAGTAAAGGGGAACCAGAAGACAGAATAACGATAGACAAGCCGAGGTCAAAGTCACAAAGTCGGATAAACAAGCCAGAGAGTACGTAACCAGAAACACAAGTTCAGTATCAATACTAGCAGGTAAAGACCACAACAGGGCAGGGAGGAACAGGAAAGGTAAGTATTTAAACCATCAGGTTAATTCTGATTGGATAATTTCCAATCAGAATTAACAATCACACGTGGGAGATATCTAGACCTCCCACTGTGATTGAGGCACTGTGCCTTTAACGCCGGGTCGTGTATAAACCTGGGCGGTCTCCCAGCGTGCAGCGTCATGCATGCTGCCGCTGGGGGACGTGGAGGGAACGGCGGGCGGCATCCGAGGCTGGAAGGATGCCGCTCGCCGTACCCACGAGGAGGAGGGGACCGTGGACGGCTGGAGGGTGAGTACTGTGAGCGGAGTGCAGCCTCCCCTCGCAGCCGCCCGCGGGAACCTGACAATATGTTAACGGTCAGGCAAAACTGCCAGAATTTCTTGGCCAGATTGGATAGAATTCGTGATCTGGGGCCCTTCAGATGATTTATATATCGGACTGTCGATACATTGTCTAGACTTCTGATGGCAAACGAGCCAGCCAGGAGTTCTAGGCAATTGATATGTAGAGATGTCGCGAACCGTCCGCGAACTTCTCGCGAACAGTTCGCCACGAGCTGTTCGCGGCGAACTCCGGTCAGCTGACACGTCCCGGCCAATCTCCAGCAGAACCTCCCTCCCAGACCCTCCTACTTCCTGGACAGCATCCATGTTGAAACGAGAAGTTCGCGGACGGTTCGCGACATCTCTATTGATATAGAGATCTTTTTTGTGGATATATTTCCACATTGTGCACCCCAGCCGAGGGAGACAGTGTCGGATTCGCCCAGGATTGTACTGAAAATTCTCTTTTATTCCAGTTGACATGTAGCAGCCAGCAAGAGAGTTCCTCCTCAGCTTGGTAATCAATTGGAATGACATACAAAATTAAGCAATGTACTCAAACACAATACTCCTGGGCGGCAGCAATGATTATAGCACACATCATCCCCAATACATACTGCAAAAAAAAGTTACTTGCGCACTATCCCAATCCCTATGCACATTTTAATAACTGGAGGTTTTTTAATATCACTCGAATGGCCATTCAATTTTAAACTCATCTGCCACGTCAAGGCAAAACCTCTTAGGTAAGTAACTAACCTTGGTGTTTTCAGCAAGAAGGTAAAATCACTAATGAGACATAGAGGGGTATTTTTCTAAACCCCTACACAACTATAAACACACCTTAATAGGGAACACACAGGGTGGGCGGCAGCACATAGCTGTGTAATACAAAAAAAATACAAACATATATAATCATTCCATGCACTCAAACTCCCACTACTACTGGGCAGCAGCAATGACTATAGTACAAATCAGTACAAAGTACACCAAAAAACCTTAGTTATTTAAATGTGCACTGGGTTTTGAAATGTACAGAGGTTGAAGGTTGATCACCGGGTGCATCTTCTTGGGTTCCAGAAAGAGGTTGCTGATAAAGCCCAGTGTTTGTATAGGTACAATCAGGGCCGCCACCAGAAATTTTGGGGCCCATAACTCAGCTCGGGGTCTGGGCTCCCTGGGGCACGCCTCCAAATACCGCCCACTGGGTCCGCCTCCAAATACCGCCCACAGGAAAACACACACAGACACAAACTGTCACGTTCTGTTCCTCTCTGCGGATCTTTCCTGCATTGGCTTCTGGTATCCAGTACTCTCTTTGCTATCCTTGCTTGGTTTTTCTGGTCTATGTCTGGTTTTCTTTGTTGCTGGGTTTCTGGGTTCATTCTTATATTCTGTCCCTGGATTTCCCAGTCTCTTGGATTCACTTAAATGTTTGTTTTATGGTGCCACACCCGCTTGTTTCCACTTTCCTTTTGTTTCAGCTTGGACCTGCAGCAGTATTTCATCTCTCTGCCTTTTCTTGCAGGTAAGTGCTATTGTGGTATAGTGTGGTTATTTTTGGTATACATTAGGCAGTGTAGGACCTGCCAGATATGGGGTACATTTCCGTTGTTGGCAGGCTTGTGCAATGTATGATCATATAATGTAACTAAATCCCCATACTTTTCATAATTAGTGCTTAGCTAGGTTTCCTCTTGTTTTACCTTGTATCTCTTGTCTTGCTTTACTTTGTCTTGCAATCCCAGTCCATGTACTGTCCTGTTCAGTCATGCCCATGTTATGTTCTTGTTTTCCTCATGTCTTGTGTACATGTTCTGGGTTCTGCTTTCTGTCCTGCTCTGGTTCTGGGTTCTCCTAGTTTTGTCTTGTTTTCATGTATGGTGTCTTGCTTTGCTTCAGTACTGGATACATCTCTGCTGCAGAGCCTCCCTATTTAGCTCCTGGGAGGTCTGCTTAATTACCGGCTCCTAGTTCCTGGGATCCGCTGAAGCTGAATCAGGGTTCTGGTATGTGGCTGCAAAAACGCTGGTGCTCAGCACCAGGGGGCGTGCGGTTACCCTGCACCAGACCCTGCTAATCCACCTCCACACTGTGACTCCTACTCCGAACATCAGGCATACATGGGTCCCGGTCCACGCATCGCCGCCCGGACAGTGTCTGGGTCCCAGGCACCGGATCGCCACCCCTGACACAAACTCACACACTGATACAAAAGGACACAGATACATACTAACAGACACACATACTGAAACAGACATACAGGCATACATACTGAGACATACTGAAACAGACACACACAGGCATACATAGTGACACACTAACATACATACAGACACTAACATACATACATACAGACACATACATACATACATACAGACACTAACATACATACATACATACAGACACTAACATACATTCATACATACAGACACTAACATACATTCATACATACAGACACTGACATTCATACACACATACATACATTCATAATGGCATACAGACATACATTCATAATGGCATACAGACATACATTCATAATGGCATACAGACTGGCATACATGCATATATACAGACATACATGCATACAGACATCAATACACACATACACACGTTCATAATGATATGATGCATTGGTGTGTTTGGATGAAGTGTTGACTTTTAAATGCAGATGTACATTTGTGTGTAGTATTGGTGTTTGAGTGAAGGGTGTGTTTGAGTGTTTGTATATAATTTTGGAATTTGAATTCAGGTGGTTTTTGTATGTAATGTTTCTGTTTGCATTTTGTACTGGTGTTTGCTTGGATGTATGGACATACATACATACTTACACAGAAAAACATAACCCACATTAACACAGATACACACTGACATACACAAAGATTCACACACCTTGACACATACACAGATACACTCACTGCCACATACACCCTTACTGTCACACAGATACACACAATGATACACACAGATATACACTGGCACATACACACACTGAGACACATATATACACACAAGCCCATACAGACCTAGATACACACACTCATATGCACACACTGACATACAGGTTCAAACTGGCACATACACACATTGACAGAGATACAGACACAGTGGCACATACACACACCGACACACAGATATACACACTCTGGTACACAAATAAACACTAGCACATACACACACACACACACTGACACAGATGCAGACACACACAGTGACACATACACACACCTTGAAACGCAGATACACACAGCGGCACAAACACACTGACATACAGATATACATACTGACATAAAGATATGCAGACACACTCAGATACACACAGTGACACACACACACCTTAAAAAACAGATACACACTGGCACACAAATGTATACACACACACATAGATAAAAACACTGGCACATACATAAACACTCAGCTACACATTTACACACAGTGACAAATACACACAACTTTATATACACACTCTGGCACATACACGACCAGATACATACACACACACACACACACACACACACACTGATACACAATGACAAAAACACAATTTGAAACTCAGATATACAGACACACACAGACACAAACACTGACATACACTGGCACACACACAGGTCATAATTTTTATATTTAGTGTTTTTTTGTGGTTGGAGGGTTACCTTAATACATTAGAAGACATTTTGCAACCACAAAATATCCCCTGAATATACACTAGCTACGTCGGGAGTCCTGTAGCTCAGTGACTGCTAGGCTTGGGATCCTGGCTATTTCTGCATATGCTCCTCAGCCAGCCTGACATGTAGGGGGTCAGCCATCACACAGAGCCTTCTTATTTATGATCTGTAGGAGGTTTAATGACCAGCCTCTACGTCACTCACAGTCAGCACAGTGATTCTCTGGTTGCAGCAGATCACTCCCCACTCTTCCCCTCCAGCATGGCACTTTCCATGTCTGGGAGGAAGTCACAGGCTGTCACTTGCTCCCAGCATCCGAGGCTACAGCAATGCTCATTGGGTGGTCCTAAGTGCAAGGGCCAACTGATGGGCAAATCGCGGTGGAACCCCGGTGTGACAAACTCCCCTTTTTACATGAGTTTGCCACAAGCTCCTGGAGGAGCCTGCTTGTCAGCCTCCTGCCTACAAACTATGGACCCTGTGTAATATAATGTTAAAGCCTCCATTCGTGCAATTAGTATTATATGGTTCAGTTACCGAACAACCGCACAAACCAGAAACCACCCTGGAGCTTGTTAACACCTATTAATAACTTGGAACATTTCTCACCACAGTGTTCTAATTGTTCGTCTCGGTGGCCGCAATTCCTATGGACAACCACGAGGTGGCGGCCATCTTGTTCGCATGAATGCAGGCAGCGGTGTTTGAGCATAAATCTCATGGAACTAAGATCAGACACAGAAACTCCTGAACACCGCTGGACTTCCATCATCGACTGCGTTCGGTTCTATACAACTTAGAAGGGCACTGTTCGGTGAAATCATTCATCTGGATGAGAGGAACAAGCTCCAGGGTAAGGCTATTGACTCTGTTTTTATAGTTTGTTAGTTTTCAAACTACCGAACTAGACCGACCGCAAGCTCTGATTCTCTTGAACTGTTTTGGGCATGGGACCATGCCTGCGGTCGGTCAAATAAATTCCTTCCAGGATATTCCTGAACTGATCTGGGTGACTTTCGGATATGTTGGTCACCCAGATCAGGGCTATCAGGATATGTATCACAGGGAGAGGAGTGCAATATCTTCTCTCCCCAGCGGCAGGGTATTATACAGGGAGTGGAGACAGTCAGTCTCACTCCCCAGCGGCAGTCAGCGACACATTGGGAGGGGACCGTTGGTCCCACTCCTCCAACACAGGGAAAGATACAGGGAGTGGAGACGGTCGGTCCCACTCCCCAGCAGCTGGGGCTGTTGTCCAGAGACAAGCCCCCTGGCATGGATGGTGCAGATGGGACCGAGGTCTCTGTACCAACCCTACAGGGATGCTGGGCAGCCTGCCCAGATCCCCAACCATGTTCCAGGTGCAGGAGAGGGAACTACTGGACTCCTTCCAGCAGAAGAGCTGGCATCAGGCCATTAGTTCTGGAATCTTACGACAAACAGGCCACCCAAGCTGAAGAGCTGGCTACAGGGCCTCTGGCCTCTGCCCCTCGAGCACGGACGGCTTCGTAGGTGAGGTCCAGGGAGAAGAAAGTGTCTCTCCCCAACGGCAGTATGGGTTACAGGGAGAAGGGACAGTCGGTCCCACTCCCCAGCGGCAAGAGTTACCCCCTAGAGAGGGGAATTGCGCCCTCCACCCCCAGCGAGTACTTGGTCCAACCAGGGGGAAGTGCATCCAAGTTGTTTCCCCACAAGACACTGGATGTACAAATGGGCACTTGTGGACAACAACGCCTTTTGGGAAAGGCCCCCAGACTATCACAGACCCAAACCGATTGGAGGTCTTGGGTCTGGATAGTCTCCTTGGGAGGGGGAAGATATGTGACAAACTCCCTTTTTTACATGAATTTGCCACAAGCTCCTGGAGGAGCCTGCTTGCCAGCCTCCTGCCCACAGACTATGGTCCCAGTGAAATATAATGTAAAAGTCTCAGTTTGTGCAATTAGGATTATATGGTTGTTACCGAACAATATCATAAGCCAGAGACCACCCTGGAGCTTGTTAACACCTATTAAGAACTTGGAACGTTTCTCACCGCAGTGTAATTGTTCGTCTGGGTGGCCGCAATTCCTATGGACAACCACGAGGTGGCGGCCATTTTGTTCGTATGAACGCAGGAAGCAGTGTTTGGGTATGAATCTCATGCAAGTAAAATCGGACACAAAATCCAGAACACCGCTGGACTTCCATTATCGCCTGCGTTCGGTTCTATACAACTTAGAAGGGCACTGTTTGGTGAAACCATTTGTCTGGATGAGGGGAACAAGCTCCAGGGTAAGACTATTGACTCTGTTTGGTAGTTTTCAAACTACGAACTAGACCGACCGCAAGCCCTGGAACTGTTTTGGGCATGGGACCATGCCTGTGGTCGGTCAAATAAATGACTTCCAGGAAATTCCTGAACCCCTGAACTGATCTGGGATGTAACTTTTGTGGGGGTTTATGTATTTTAGGGTACTTTTGGGGTGTTTTGAAAAAGTATGTTTTTTCTGTGCTTGGAAAAAATTGAATTAGAATTAGTACTGTTCCTGATCCAATTATCTCCCAGGCAGAGGGGAGGGATTGTATGTTTGTATATGGGAGTGTCATGCATTTAAATGCTCGTCATTGGCTTATGACTTTATACTGCAGTTCCCCACAAAGTCCATTTAGGAGTACCCCTTGCATGGGGACTTGCATAAAAGGCCAGTTGTGGCTGCCATTAAATTATTCCAGCTTGCACTCCAAAACGGTGTGTCGTCCTGTTATCGGAGGGAAGGAAGATTTAACCCCTGTGTCTGCTGTTCCAGCTTGCAGGGGATTCAACGGGGAAAGTCCTTGTAAGGCCTAGAGCTCTCAGAACTGAGTGTCTTCCAGTGCCTGGGGGTGTCTGTGACTGGGCAAGAGGTGCTGCGGTTTGTCCCCTGTTCCAGCTAGGGAGTGGTCCTTGGCGGAGGTACCCAGTTGGGGTACAGTGAGCTCCACTACACCTGGTTTTGTTCTCGTGGAACCCCAGGTTCTTGCTGCTGTAATTAGTGGCACGGTTATGATCATATACTATAAGTAAATCCCCATTATTCTTAACTACCGTATATACTCGAGTATAAGTCGAGTTTTTCAGCACATTTTTTGTGCTGAAAAACCCCCACTCGACTTATACTCGAGTTAATGTCTGTATTATGGCAATTTACATTGCCATAATACAGACAAGGACCGCCGGGCTCATTACAAGCCCGGCGGTCCTGTTGGGGGCTGACAGTGAGAGGTTACTTACCTTCCTGCAGCTCCTGTCAGCTCCCTTCTCCTCCGTGCAGCTCTTCTGACAGCTCCCACTGGAAGTCTCGCGAGAGCCGCGGGGTCACCGCGGCGCTCGCGAGACTTCCAGTGGGAGCTGTCAGAAGAGCTGCACGGAGGAGAAGGGAGCTGCAGGAAGGTAAGTAACCTCACTGTCAGCCCCCCCCTCCTGCACAGCCCATCCACTGGACCACCAGGGAGTGAGAGCCCCCCTCCCTGGCCAGCTAACAAGCAGGGAGGGGGGACAATAATTAAATTAAAAATACAAAAAAAAATACAATAAAAACTATTAAAATAAAAAAAACTTAAATATTCAAATAAAAGAAAAGAAAAAAACTTACAATATTAAAATAAAAAATTTATAATAAAAATGCCCTCCTTCCACCCAGTTCACACACACACAAACTCATACAAACACACACTCTGCATTATATACACACACACTCATACAAACACACTCTGCATTATATACACACACACTCATACAAACACACTCTGCATTATATACACACACACTCATACAAACACACACTCTGCATTATATACACACACACTCATACAAACACACACTCTGCATTATATACACACACACTCTGCATTATATACACACACACTCATAAACAATCTGCATTCTACACACACTCATACAAACACACACACACTCTGCATTATATACACACAGAGTGTGTGCGTATATAATGCAGAGTATGTGTGTTTGTATGAGTGTGTGTGTAGAATGCAGATTGTTTGAGTGTGTGTGTATATAATGCAGAGTGTGTGTTTGTATGAGTGTGTGTGTGTGTGTATATAATTCTAAAATCACAGAATTTCATAGCCCCAAGTTTTACCTTCGACTTATCCACGAGGCATAGCATATTTCACAATTGTTGGTCACAAAACTGCCCTCGACTTATACATGAGATCGACTTATACACGAGTATATACGGTAAGTGAAGATGTGTGCATTTCTATATGTATTTATTTTTCATATTTCAGAAATTCATATTGCTAAATATGCAGAAAAGTAAACGTAATATTATAAAGTAACAGGTCCCCTTTTAATCTTTTATTTCACAGGGATAAAAACTGACAGAACTACGGCCACAGCAACAAAAAGGCCCGCACTGTTTTAATATTTTATTTTTGTATCTATGTAGTGTAGGTGAGTGAGATAAAAAAAAATGTTTTGTTGGGACTATCATTAGATTACAAATTGACCAATGCTAAATTTTCGCTATGGATGTAAGACATACCTGTTTTGTTATTCTCTAATTATTGGCCATGCAAGGCTCTCTGTCCTTTCTAATTCTCACTTCTGAAAACGTAAAAAATACCTCAATAAAAACCATATTTGAAGAAAAAATGCTACATTTTCACCAGGCATATCATCAATTCTTTTTTTTATTGTTATTATATTTTTTTACAATAGCGTTTTATTTAGTAAATGTGCAATACAAAATATAGACTTTATAAATCCTAATTATATAATAATAATAATAAAGCGCCAACATATTCTGTAGTGATTTACAATTATTTAAAGGGGATGTTTAGAGGTGAAAAAGGCCTTGCTCATCAAAGAGCTTACAATCTATTAGGCTTTGAGGTAGGTGAATATTTATCACAAGGGGTCTTGCCCATGAACACTTGCTGATGAGGTGGTTTGACTAGGATTCAAACCTGGGTTTCCTGGTTCAAAGGCAGTGATGTTACCACTGCTGTTTCATGAACAGCAAATATAGTTGACAATGGCATCAAAATATATATAAATATATATATATTGCTATTTTAAACTTTTACAAAAATACAACTTAGCCAAATACAATGCAAATTAAGCCGTTTAACAACAAATTTGGACACGGTAAACACTGGAGATAAGGTTAAGGAATAGCTGAGTCACAAGTGCAGGCTGACATAAGGTGACTCTGCAGACAAATGTTTATAAGCTGGATTTCCCATGATGCTCAACCACCAGCACTAATCTATTGGTAGCTAACCTTTCCAGCTTTATTGGTTTATATTTCATGATGCTTAGTCAGACATTACTGGGCTCTTCTTAGAAACACGGTCTCCGACAGACGGAATATTACAATTTAGCCTTCACTGTAGACATTTTCCCAACCCAGTCCTCAATGCACACCACTGGCTTTGTATGCTCAATGGAATTGCACTGAGAAATGTCTAAATCCTGGACTTTTGGTGAGCCTTGAGCGTTGTTTGAGAACTACTGCCCTAGAGTTCTCATATCCTTTGAGTTAATTATTGGATCTGATAGGATTGTTATAAGCGGACAACAGTGAACAGTTGCCTCCCAACAGTGGAACAGGCCCATGAAAAACACCACTTTTTGTACACTGTCAAAGCCCCACGCCCATGTTACCCATTCCGTACTGGGAACACACCAGTAGCCAGATCTACTCATTCAGCTTGTTATACAAAATATTCCTATTGCATATGCTACCAGGGCTAATGTCTTCCTCTGCCTAATTTACATGTAGATGTGATCTTATTGCATGGAGTTTTTTTTAATTTAAAAAATTGTACAGTTTCTCCTATTACTTCATGGATATAAATATCTTTCTCACTATATACATCAATTTGCCATATCCAAAATTTATCGATGCACAATGTGACAGACCGCCTGGCACCCCAACCGGGTGTCTCCGCCAACCGAAGCTCATAGTACTTACCGAGGACTCAAAGCACTCCACCTGACACCATCAGCACTGTAGTCCCCACGTCCAGCATTACAGCTTGGCTGGGAACTCGCCCTCCTCCACCCACCCTGGACCCAAGACCAGGATCCAGCTTCCAGTGGGCTGACCTCCCCTACTCCAGAGAGCATAGCAGGAACATCTCTTGAAATAGCTAGTGATTATAACACTCCAAAGAGCCATCCCAAGAGCAGAGATTATAGCAGGTATAGCTTTCCCCTACAAGCACGAGACAAGGCTCTGTGTTGAGGGTAAACAGGAACTCGAATTTATTGGTGTCACACTGGCCTTTTATGCAAGTCCCCAAGCAAGGGGTATGCCCACATGGACCTTGTGGGGGACAGGGACACAAAAACTACAAACCAATCAGAGCAGTAATTAAATGTATGATACTCCCATAACAAACATACAATCCCTCCCTTCTGATTTGGAGATAATTGAGTCAGATACTATACTAAACTCTATCTCCAAACACACAAAAAAACAACAAAACATTTTACAAAACCCCAAAAGTACCCCAAAAACACATGATATCCCCACAATTGTTACATCCCCTGATAGCCCTGATCTGCGTGACCAACATATTAAAAAATCACCCAGATCAGTTCAGGGGTTCAGGAATTTCCTGGAAGCAGGGCCGGATTAAGAACCCAGTGGGCCTGGTGCTGACAATTATGATGGGGCCTAATTACATAATCTTATCGACCAAAAACACAAACAGTCATTCCTCTCAAACGTCATGTATCTGATGGAGTTGGTGTTGGAGGGAAAAGGATGCAGCTATAAGAAACACACATACTCTATGCTAATCTCTTTATCTAATTTATGCTTTCATCTTTCAAGTAAATCCATACCAACAGTAGTGTCCAGTGAAGCAGGAAGCCAATGGGCGGGGTAAAAGAGTAGGCCACTGATGCGAATCACATGACCAGAACTGCCAAAAGGGGCGAACATGCCCAAAAAGGGGGTATGTCTGTCCAAAGAACTGGAAGGCCAGCCTGGCATCAGTGTCCCTATGCATCACAGTGTCAGTGTCCCCATGTCGCCCAGTCCATTAGTCTCCCAGTGTCCCCATGTGTCAGTGTGTCCCGTGTCACTAGGAGACATGGGGGCACAGAGACATGGGGGCACTTGTGGATACAGACATGGGGACACTGAGAGACATGGGGACACAGACATTTGGGGACACTGAGAGACATGGGGACACAGGGAGAAATGGATATATGGGGACACTGGCTGGGAGACATGGGGACACAGATATGGGGACACTGGCTGTGAGACATGGGGGCACTAGGGACACTGGCTGGGAGCCATGGGGACACTGGGAGAAATGGATACACTGTCTCAGTGTCACCATGTGTCCCTGATGCCTTTCCCCTCATCCCTCACTTCCCTGAGCTGTAGTCTGTCCCTGCAGGCTGTGAGCTGCTGTCTGAACTCTCTGTTCTGTGTAGCTGCTCCCCTGCGTATCTGTGAGTAGAGAAAGGCAGGGAGCAATATGCTGTAACATCCTATCCCTGCCTCTCTCCCTACACAGTGACCCCTACTGGCCGGTGCTTGTATTGCAGATTAATCTCCATTTATACTGAGAAAAATATTTGCATTTGTATTGCTGGTATTACTGCAATACCATCATGGCCAGGCAGCCTCAAATACCGGCTGTGCCTTAAAATACCAGTCAGGTGGCGAACCTAAGAGTAGTGTGTGTGTGCAGGGTGAAGTTCAGGTCAAGAGGCTGTCCTGTGATTGTGCTGGGGGGCGTGGGTTAGAAGGGAAGTTTAAATAGCGGCCATTTTAGGGTAAGTTCATTCTAACTTGAGCCTTTCTTACCTGTAAATTGTTGCAGGTCGGTTGGGCTCCTCTTTTCTTCTTTTCCAGGTGCAGCATGGCATCATTAGAAGAACTTCTGTCGGGTCTGCGGTCCGTGGTGCAGGAGAAGGGAATGGCGTGGCTACAGGAGCAGCTGGGGGTTCCGAGCACGTCTGCTCCCCCCCATGCGGTGCCGGATCGGAGGCCGGAGAGGAGAGCTAGGCCGCCCCAGCGGCTTAGTCCTGGAGCGGGTCCTGCAGCCAGACGGAGGAGGAGCTCGGCGGGAAGCAGTGCGGCGGCCGGAAAGCAGGGACGTGGAGCGAGTCGTCGGCCGGGACCGCCAGCTAGGCGCAATGCCGGGGCGGTGAGGTTGCAGGCCAGGAGGAGGCCTCCCTTGAAGGGCGCCCCCTGCCGGATGGCGGCGGGCGGGCAGGCGGAGCTGACAGCTGGTGCCGGAATGGAGCAGGACGGAGGGGAGTCGGCTGCAAGACCTAGGAGCAGCCCTGGACGTCCCGGTGAGTCGCCCCCTGGGGGCAGCACTGTGGGGCAGGAGGGATTGAGAGGGGCTGGCAGTGGCAGGACAGCGGTCTCACAGGTTGGGGAGAGGGACCAGGTCAGCAGGGCACAGCAGGAGGCGGCTGGAGTTGGAGGCAGGAAGGATAGCGCTGCGGATCCAAGGGATCAGAGGAGCATGGCCAGGAGCTTGGGAAGAAGGGGAGACGGGCACAGCATCGGCAAGTCTGGGGACCCAGGAGACAGGAGGAGTGGCAGTATGGAGCGGAGTGGCAGCAGGCGGGTGACTGGCCAGGAGGACGGCGGCACCCAGGACAGCAGTGGGCGGGAGGCCTTTAGGGGTCGATCCCAGGAGCGGCTCGATAGGAGGAGCGCCAGCAGAGGGAATGGCGGAGGATGGCAGCGCGGAAGGGCAGAATGGCGGGACAGCAGGTCAGGGTCTGCAGGCAGTAGGAGACATGGGAACGGGAGCCCAGCAGGGAACCGGAGCAATAGGAGGAGGTCAGCTTCTCGGGACAGGTGGCTACGGCGCCGGCGCAGTGAGTCAAGGTCGTCTGAGAGGAACCACACGGCACGGAGGAGGAGAAGTAGCGAGCGGGAGGGACGATGCAGGCAGGGAAGTGGTGAGGACGGGTCTGATCACGGGAATGAAGGGCGGGTGAGGCTGCAGTCGGACAGATCACCCAGGCTGTATTCTCCTTGCAGGTCGTTGAGTAGGACGCCCACGAGAGCAACACACGAACAGGCGGGCAGGAGTCGGCGTCCCCTGGTTCCTTCTGGGTCGGCTGTCGTGGTGGAAAAAGTGGCGCCCCCGCGGTCAGCAGCGGCCGGGGGCTTGAGCGGTGAGTCTCCAACTGCATCACACCCAGGAAGCTTACTTGGATGTTTAAGATCTCTGTTAGATTCATGGTCTGGGGACGGGGGGTCTCCGACACAGTTTGAGAAAGTGTGGGTTGCGGACGGCGGTCGGGCAGCAGGGGTTAAGGCCGCAGCGTCAGCGGAGCCGAAAGGGGGTGAGGGCGCCGCGGGGACGGGTCAAGGAGCGACGGGTGACGTGGGTGAGCATGTCGTTCTCTGCGGGGAAGTAACAGATGCAGCACGGCAAAATGTGCATGTGTCTTTTGTGGGACCGCTAGGGTGCCACTTAAAGGTGGAGGTTAAGGAGAAAATTTGGAAAGGGGAGTTCGTGGAAATATTTTCCCTGCTTCCCCTGGAGGAATTTTTAGACTTGAAAGAAGAGGATAAAAAGGATGCGAAAAAGGAAGAGGAGGAAAAGAGGCGGAGGTATCGGAAAATACCCAAGTCTTTTGGGAACTGGTTGAGGGCCTTTTGTATTTTGGCGAGCGTGATCGGGGAAAAATACCCGGATCGATGTTCGCAGCTTTTTTGTTATTTAGACGGGATAGGGGACGCATATCGGACCTATGGGGGTTTAGCATGGTGGAAATATGACGAACAATTTCGTCAGCGATTGGCGGCAAATCCGTCCATGCGGTGGGACCAGATGGACTTGCCTTTGTGGATGAGGCTGATGATGGCACAGAAAAGTGCCCCCTTTCTCGGAGCGGCCGGCACGGGCTCAGGTACCGTGTCGGCAGGTCAGAAGAAAGGTTTCTGCTGGCTCTACAATGAGGGCCAATGCAAGTGGGGTGCATCTTGCAGATTTAAGCACGAGTGCTCCGGTTGCGGGGGTAATCACGGAGTTTCCAGGTGCTTCCGAAAAGGTAAGCCGAACTTGGGAGGAGGGGTTGTCGGCACATCAACAGCTGCGGCTGCAGCTGGGAGCGTCGCCGGTGAAGGTAAGCGCGATGCTGCCTTGGTTAAAACTATACGATAATCAGGAGGTGGCAAAGTTTTTACGGCTGGGTTTTACAGAGGGTTTCAGGATTCCGTTTCAAGAAAGGGCTGCGGGTGGGTTATGTAAAAACCTTCGGTCAGTGGGGGAACATCCGAGCATAGCTCGGGAAAAGTTATGTAAGGAAGTGCAATTAGGGAGGATGGCGGGACCATTCGCTTCCCCGCCGTTGGTTGGTTTGCGGGTGTCTCCACTTGGGGTAGTCCCCAAGAAGGAGGCGGGTAAATTTCGTATGATCCATCATTTATCGTACCCACAAGGTACATCGGTTAATGATGATATCGACGAGGCCCTGTGTTCTGTTTCCTACACATCATTTGACAAGGCTGTCGAGTTGGTTAGGAGAGCGGGACAAGGGGCTCTAATGGCGAAATTGGATGTGGAGGCAGCTTTCCGGCTGCTTCCCATACACCCGGATTGTCATCACTTATTGGGGTGCTATTTCGATGGGGGGTATTTTGTGGACTTATGCTTGCCTATGGGTTGTGCCATCTCGTGTGCTTACTTCGAGAGGTTTAGCACCTTTTTGGAGTGGGTTGTACGACGGGAATCGGCTGGGGGTGCTGTGGTACACTACCTTGACGATTTCTTATGCGTTGGCCCACCACGCACGGAGCGCTGTAGCCAGGTGTTGAGGACCTTCCAGTGGGTGGCGCACACATTTGGGGTGCCGTTAGCAGAGGACAAAACGGTGGGGCCCACTACGTGCCTCAGCTTCCTGGGTTTGGAGATCGACTCGGTACGGAGGGAGTGCAGGTTGCCCGGGGACAAATTACAGGCCCTTCAGCGGCTAGTGGACACGGTTGGTAGGGCGAGGAAGGTCACTTTGCGTGAACTTCAATCGTTGATAGGGAGCCTGAATTTTGCGTGCCGAGTGATCCCTATGGGGAGGGTCTTTTGCAGACGACTGGCGCGGGCGACAAGCGGGGTGAGAAAACCGTCGCATTATATTAGGGTGTCTGTGGACATGAGAGAGGACTTGGAGGTATGGGCTAGGTTTTTGAGGGAGTTTAACGGGAAGGTGTTTTTTCGGGAGCCGTTGGGAACCTCCACGGCCGTGGGTTTGTTTACGGATGCATCAGGCAGCATCGGTTTTGGGGCGTACCTAGCGGGTAAATGGTGCGCGGAGGGGTGGCCGGAGGCATGGAAAGCGAGCCCCTTGATTAGGAACTTGGCCTTTTTGGAGTTTTTCCCGGTTGTTGTGGCAGTGGCGTTATGGGGTCCGGAGTTAGCCAATAAGAGGGTGGTGTTCAATTCGGATAACATGGCAGTGGTGCAGGCTATCAACGGATTATCGGCTTCTTCATGGCCAGTGGTACGGTTGTTGAGGCAATTGGTTCTCTTGTGCATGTCTTTTAATATTGTGTTTCGCGCTCGGCATATACCGGGGCTTACCAATGTTGTCGCTGTCTCGCCTACAGTGGGAGCGTTTTCGGGAGGCGGCGCCGGAGGCGGAAGAAGAGGGTCAAGCCTGTCCGGCGGAGATGTGGGAGCTCGGGATGTCTTGCTTGGGGAGTACATAAAGAAGTCTCTGGCGCCTGGAACTTGGTTCTCCTATGTTAAGGTCTGGCAAGTGTGGGAAGACACGATACAGCAGGTAGGGGTGACGGGCCCTGGGAGCAATCGGCTGGACATACTGTTTTGGATCCTATGCCGGTTGTTCGCAAAGCAAGCGTCGCCATCAATGGTTGATAGGTACATGTCAGCGTTGGCGTTTTTGTTTAAGTTTAATGGATGGGAGGATGTGACGAAGCATTTTATAGTGAGGCAAACGGTTCGGGGATACAGGAAAGGTAAGAAAACGAAGGATACGAGAAGACCAGTCTCCTTCACAGTGTTACAGGGGTTAGTGAACAAACTACCGGAGATATGTTTTTCTGTGTTTGAAGTGGCGTTATTTACAGTGGCTTTTTCGTGGGCCTTTTTTGGGGCGTTTCGGATTGGTGAGTTGCTTAGTGCCAACAAGAAAGGGGTTGGTGGGCTTAGGTTGGAAGATGTGACGGTTAGTAGGGACAGGGTATTGATTCACCTGATTCAATCAAAGACGGATGTATTTGGTAAAGGTGCCATGGTCACGTTGTTTGGTTTACCAGGGTCGGGGTTGTGTCCGGTGGCGAGTGGGGCCGGGTTTTTGGAACTACGCCCGATAGGGAGCGGTTGTTTCTTCATACATGCCGACGGCACGGCACTGTCGCGCTTCCAATTTGTGCGGGTTTTCCGTTTGGGATTACAGAAGTTGGGTCTGGAGCCCATGCAGTTTGGAACACATTCATTCCGAATAGGCGCGGCGACAGAAGCGGCTCGCTTGGGTTTAGGGGATGAGCGGATTAGACGAATTGGGAGATGGGAATCTCTCAGGTTTCGCTCTTATGTACGGCCAGATAGGCTGGTGTGAAGGGGTGGTTGATTGTGGGTGTTTGGGATGTGCTGGTGATGTTTTCTCAATGTTATGTTTTATTTTAGGTTGGACGGTGTGGATAATTGGCCATTCGTATATCCATTGGGCAAGGAGGAGGGCCGCAGTTAGAAGACATGGAACACAGCTGGGCTTTCCTGAGGATCGGGTGGCGTTATTCTGGTTCGGTTATCGGGGGTTTGACTGGCAGCACATTATTACGGTATTGTTTCGGAAGGTAGCGGAGGAGCCCTTGCCGAACGTGGTGGTAATTCACGGGGGGGGAAACGACTTGGGTCTGGTCCCCCAACGTGAACTGGTTAAGTGTATGAAGCAGGACGTTGACAGACTAAGGGGGCTTGTCCCTGGCGTGAAAGTGGTATGGTCGGAGATGGTACCTCGTTTATGCTGGAGATACGCCAGGGATGAGAAGGCAGTTTCTCGATGTCGGGGTAAAGTGAACAGGACCATGGCGGTGTTCATTCGAAGGTTAGGAGGCGTGGTGGTGAGGCATCGGGAGTTGGAGGAGAGATTACCGGGTTACTTTCGTGATGACGGGGTGCACTTATCGGATGTTGGTTATGACCTTTTTAATTTAGGTTTGCAAGACGGGATAGCGCAAGCCCTGTTTTTGTGTGGTGGGGGTCGCACATGTCCTTAAGGGGTCAAGGCAAGTGCTGTGGCGGAAAAGGTCTTGGTTAAACTGGAATTTTGGTGGGTTAAGAAATTGGTAGGCCAAGGTCTAGGCTGGAGTAGGCCGGAAGTCAAAAGTATGGAGGTAGGTTCGAGCCCGTCGGTGGCTACGAACCAAGGGGTGTAGGGGTGTCTGGGTACACCCCTGCAGTTAGACAAATGGAGGTGGGGCCTCTTGGTAGGCCGTTGAGTTATGTGTATGTATTATTGGTTATGCTAATGTTTGTTTTGGTAGGGTCATTGTCGGGGGTATGATATAGGAAAAGAGCCTAACGAAGGAGTACTGTTGACAATGACCCTAAATTGTTAATTTATATATTGATATTAATTAATAAAGCTGTGGACTTTATACTCCAACAGAATTTTCGGTGTCTGCGTGTTATTAAAGTATGGTTGGCACATGCCGAATAACGACTGTGCAATAATGTCATGGTCTGTCTATCTGTCTGGAGTACAAAAGTACATACTTCACATGAACAGAGCCTTTTAAGGTGCATTGGGCAAGGTATATTGCAGGGCCCATAGTCCTGAGGCAAGAGGCTGGCCAGCAGGCCCCTGTAAGAACTCGTGACGAGGTTCAGTTCATCACAGGGCCATAATCACAGGGTAGGAGGCTGACAAACCGGCCCCTCCAAAAGCCAGTGGTGAGGTCACTTTCGCCACACACAACAATAATAAAGATTTACACAACAAAAACAAAATTTTAAAAAAGAGGGGGGGTCAGGTGGGTCCTATTATGTAAAAAACTGGGAAACATCTTAGTATCCAACCCCCAAATATCACCCATGGTTGGAAGGTGGGAGATATTTAAAAATATAAATGGGTGAGGGGACATGCCTTTGTCCACCCCCACCACCCAAGGGCTTCAGATGGGGATAATTATAACCATTAGAAGGGGT